TCACCTACAAAGGAGTCCCCATCAGACTGTCAGCAGATTTCTCAAAAGAGACCTTACAGGCAAGAAGGGGCTGGAAAGAGGTATTCCAAGTCATGAAAACCAAAGATCTACAACCAAGATTGCCCTATCCAGCAAAGCTTTCACTTAAAATGGAAGGGCAGATAAAGTGCTTCTCAGATAAGATCAAATTCAGGGAGTTCATCATCACCAAGCCCTTATTATATGAAATGTTAAAGGGACTTACCTAAGAAAAAGAAGATAAACAAGATGAACAGTGAAAGGACAGCAAACTCACAGTTATTAACAACCACACCTAAAATACAAGCGAATTAAGAGGACAGATCAAGAGTGAACCATAGAAATGAAGATCATGTGGAAGGTTAGCAACAGGGGAGTGGGAGGAGAAGGGGGGAGAAGGTACAGAAAATAAGTAGCATAGACGGTAAGGAGAAAATAGATAGGGGGAGGGCAAGAACAGTAGGGGAAATATAGAATCTAAAGAACTAGAGACACGTGTTCATGAACTAAAGGAAGGGAATGGAGGGAGAGGGGTGTGCAGGGGGGAGGGGAATGAAGGGGGAAATAGAACAAATGTAATAGCATAATCAATAAAAAAAGTTGGTAGCTCTCGAAAAAATTTTTTTCAAAAACTACATGTAAGGCTCTTGGAATATTAATGGAAATAATGCTCTCTGTTGTTTTCTAATTATCCATATAACTGAGAAGACAGTAAGATAAAATAATTAACTTTAACTGATGTTGGCTAATATATGTTTTTAAAGAAATGCCATAAGATACCACACAATCAGCAAAAATTAGTATATATTTTACTAAGGACATCATGAAAAAAAATCTGATGCAGTAAGAATGAAGTATAATTCCTGGTATATTATGCTGTTTGATGATATACAGTAAATAAACAATACATTTTTTATCTTACAATATGCCTCATAAAAGTAAGAAAAAAAATTTCATTAAGATGCTTGACTATGAAATCTCTTTCAACTGGAAAATGGTATCCAAGACAGTTGCCTTGGGTAAACTATAATATGCTCACTGTAATGCCCTACTCAAAAATTATATAAGACTCCTGGAACTTATCGTGAAAGTCTTGTCTTTACAGAATACATTTTCAACTGCCTTGAGGTTATTATGACTGAGTGTCCCAAACACTCTCCTACAGTGTTACCTCAACATTTTGACCTTCCTAAGGATTCCTTTATTTGCAAGTACATCACCTAATCTTAGAATCATTTTCCTTAAGGAAAAAAATAGCCGTGGCTGTTGTGGTTCAGTGGATTGAGTGCTGGCCTGCAAACCAAAGGGTGGCTGGTTCAATTCCCAGTCAGGGCACATAACTAGGTTGTGGGCCAGGTCCTCAGCAGGGGATGCATGAGAGGCAACCACACATTGATGTTTCCCTCCCTTTCTTTCTCCCTCCCTTCCTCTTTCTAAAAATAAATACATAAAATCTTTTTTAAAAACCTGATAGAGGAAAAAGACAAAGAAGAAAGGAGATGACAAACCAGGTAGAGGAAGGCTTTGATATTATATGCCATGGGTTTCCAAACAGGTGTAAGCATTGGTCAACAGTCCCTAAGAATCTTGCTAGTGCTGTGGTGAGATGTGGTGTGGTAATCCAGCTTAGACAACTCATCTATCCTGACTCTGTGGGAAAGAAGCACTGGGAAATCCTTACCCAGCCCCAAACTTTGCTTTTCAGAAGGAAGAAAACTTTGTGACACTCAAGGGAGGAGGACAGATCAGAAGTCGCTCGGCACTCAAGTTAGAAGAGTACAGGTGATTAGAAAATTAAAGAATCTTTGCACTGGCAAGCAACTTAGAGGTTAATTTACTTCAACATATTTTTTGCAGTATAGGATTCTCCTTCACAGATTCTCTGAGAGGTGGTCCTTTAGCCTCTTCCCAAAAGACCTTCAGTAATTGGGATCTTACTTCCTTGAGTCCTCTAGCTGCAAGCCAGAAATACAGAAAATAAAAAAGATTCTTTACATTATTCATATCCAATTAGCCACTAAGCCTTATGTATTTACCTCTTAAATCTCTTTTAAATCTATCCACTGTTCCCCCTCCCACTATCTTAGTTCAGACCTCTCTTTTATATTCCTTCATGTGGTCCTGCAAGAAGATCCAACTGCCCAATTACCTACTACCAAATACTTCACCTCACATGGTAGCCTGCAGAACGGATATTCTAAAACACAAATCTAGGCACTTTCACAGTTGAGATGGTCCACTAAGGAAATTCTGTGCTTGCCTTTTCCCACAATTACATTACAACTTACAGAATAACCACTCTTGAGAACCACCTGAAATGAACTGAACTCCCATAACTAAAGATGTAAAAAAGAAGCCTCATCAAGACTGGTAGGAGGGCCAGCAATGCAAAACAAGCTGGACCCATACCAATGTGTGACAGATAAAAAACAGGAGGGACTATCTTGGCTATGGAGATCCCACAACCCACACCAGGCTCCCCAGTCCAGAGCACCAGTTCCAGGAACAAGAGTCCCTGAAACATCTGGCTGTGAAAATCAGTGGGGACTCTGTCCAGGTGAGAAGAGGAACTGCTGTAGACTAAGGTGTCCTGTTAAAGTGCCTGAGTACAGAATCACTCACAAACACTTGCCCTCAGCTCCAATGAAGAGACAGCACACCGAAAGTGCTAGGGATGGATATACTGAGAGGAACGAAATTTATCTGGCTGCAGGGCAATGGTTGAAGAGGCACCTCTCTAGAAGACTGAAGGGCTGGCAGCCACCATATTCCTTTGGTGAGGCCTCCCATGACCCAGCCTACAAGTGCAGGTGGGTGCCAAATCTAAGCTTTCCATTAAATGGCAAACATAAGGCACCCCACCCAAAACAGGCAAGGGCCCAAAGCTCTTTCAGTGGCTGTTCCTTCCAAGTGGCTGGCCTTGGAAGGAACAGACACTAAAAGAGCTTTGGGCAAAGTATGCAGACTGGCCCATGCTGCATACTTTGCTAAAATCTCTCAAAGATCCACAAATCCCAAACAAGCACTGGATGGCCTTATTGTGCCCTGTACCTCTTGCTAAGTGGGCCCAGGCCTGGCTCTAGCTGCAACAATATAGCCTCTCCCAGGTGTCTCCAAACCTAACATAGGTGACTACCAACCACAGATCACTTTGTCACTCCTACCAGGTGGCCTGTGGCCAGGCACAGGTACCAACAGACCTGGGACTGCACCAGAGCCCCACCCAAAATTCCCCAGAACCAACATATGTGGTAGCTGGCTTTGACCACACCAGAATAATACCCAGTTAGCTCCACAAATGCTATACCCAAAGGACAGACTCAACAGGCATTAGACCTCACTTAAATAAACCCTGTTCTGGGGAAGCACATGCACAACAACTTACCTGTTTCAGTCACAACCAGTTCTCAAAGACAGTGAGCATGATGGTAAACCTCACCCACTGACATGCTAACAGCAATCAAGGCTCAACTACAACAGGAGGGCCCATACAACCCACACAAAGGGCACCCCTGGAGTACCCGGCTCAGGTGACTGGGAAGACTAAGCCACTGGTCCTCATGGGGCACCTACTACATAAGACCATTGTGCCAAGAATGAAAGGCATAGCAGTTCTATCTAATACATAAAAACAAATACAGGGAGGCAACCAAAATGAGGAGACAAAAAAAACACATCCTAGATGAAACAAGAGGATGAAACTCCAGAAAACCAAAAGATGCAGAAAAAGCATTTGATAAAATACAACACCAATTATGATTAAAAAAAAACAAACCTCCAAGCACCATGGGAACAAGGAAGCACACCTCAACATAATAAAGGCCATATATAAGAAAACCACAGCTATCATCCTACTTATCAGGGAAAAGCTAAAAGCATTTTCCATTAATACCAGGAATAAGACAAGCATATTTTCTTCTACCACTTATTCAACAAACACTGGAAGTCCACAGCCACAACCAGCTAATCAGACGAGAAACATAAATAAAAGGCATCCACATTGGAAAGTAAGAAGTAAAACTGCCATTATTTGCAGATGACATGATACTGTATATCGAGAACCCGAAAGAATGTACCATAAAACTATTAGAACTGGTAAATGAATTTTAAAAGTAGCAATATACAAAATATTCAGAAATAAGTTGTACTTTTATACTCCAATAATAAACTATCTGAAAGGGAAATGAAGAAAACAATCCCATTTATAATTATATAAAAAAATAATAAAATACCTAGGAACATTTTAACCAAGAAGGTAAAAGACCTGTGCTGAGAAAATTACAAGACACTGAAGGTACAAATAAATGGAAGTATTTACCATGTTCATGAGAAGGAAGAATCAGCATTTTTAAACTGTCCACATTACCCAAAGCAATGTACAGATTCAGTGCTATCCCTCTCAAAATACCAAGAATATCTGACAGAGAGCTAGAATGAAAAATCCTATTTTAGCCTGAAATTCATGATGTTGTCTAACTCTCCAGTTCTCATTTTAGACACACTGAATGGTTGTGGTATCACCTGTACCAACCTGTTTTGCATCCCCATTCTTTGGTTCATGTTGTTACGTCTGGCTGGCACCCTCTGTCTTCCCTCTTCAACCAGCTAATTCAGTACAGAAATTATCTCTAGGAAGGCTTCTTTTGACACCTTCACCTATATATGATAGAAAACCTTCCATGTGTATCTCTTGTAACTACTTTTATTATATTATACTAGAATCATCAAATTCATCACTTTCCCTCCAGATGAATCCCTGAAGGCTGGAAGTATGTCACTCCCTTAGAATATGTCACAGGACTTGTGGTAGCGGGTGTTCAATACATGCCAAGAATGCAGCAGGACTTTTTATTATGTGAGTTAAAATCTATAACTAGATTGTCCATGGAGCAATATAAACCATCTCTCCAAGGAAATAGAGCATTTGGCTAATGTATGAAAAGGCAAAGTTTAAGTACTATTTATATGACATTTGTACTTACCTAAGTTGCTGTAGGTTGCACTACAGGGATTCAAGTCCATAGGTTCTGAAATGTCTTCTTTTTCCTCTTCTTTTTCCAGTTCAGGTAGGGGCAATGCTGGTGTGCCACCTCCACCATCTTGCTTCACAACAGTTCTTGGATCCCAGGAAGAAAAATCCTCTGTCACTTCCTGGGTCACGTGACTAAAACAAATCAGACCACTGATTAAATGTCACTCTGGCGCTTAAACGTCTTGCTAAAATGTATTTTTATGGATAGGATATGCTTGCCATAAATGAAAATATTTGGTTCTATAATCTAGCAATGGGTCATAAGCTGCAACATGCTTTTCTGAATATAAGGCAGTCCTTCATGAAGGCTCATATTTCTATTTATCTTGGTTCATACATATTGAGAATTCAGTTTGATAGAGATGGTATGGTAGGCTCACAGGAAAGTTTGAAAATAGGAGGTAAGGACTGAAACATTTTTTTAAATGTAGGAGGTGGCGAAGGTTGTGTTAGGGAGAGCTGCATGCTGAACTGGTTATAAGACAAATATACTCTATCTGAGTAGTTCCAGCCAAGATGGAGGCATAGGTAGAAATGCTTCACTTCCTCGCACAACCAAAAGAATAACAACCCAGCGGCACGAAACAGCAGAGGAGGTCGCCATTTCCCCACTCTGACCACGCCCCCACATACAGCGTCACAACCCAGTGACCTGGGAGTCCAAGGCTCTGCTCCTTATACTTAACGGGCGCGAACAGACCAAAAATGGCTCAAGAAGATCTCAAAGTCCCAGAGCCTATAAATCTAAGTGATGAAGAAATAGCAAAACTCTCAGACGCACAGTTTAAAATACTGGTGATCAGGATGCTCACAGATCTGGTTGATTATAGCCACAAATTAGAGAAACATATGAATGGCCAAACAGAAAAGAGTGAACAACTCATCTAAAAACAATAAACAACAAGAAGTGCCAGAAAATAAACTGCATGGAACTTTGACAACCTAAGAGTTAAAGAAACATTCACCCAGACTGCTAGGAGACTGGCAGTTGAGCGGAGAGGATGCACAACAAGGCTGGGGACCCTGTGGCTGAGGCAGGGCTCACTGAGAGGACTCATGGCAAGGTGGTGGACTGCATGGACAAAGCAGGGCTGGCTGAGTGGGAAACTAAAGACTCCAAGCTAGCTGCAAGTTACTGCAGGGGGTTGCCATGGTGCGAGAAACTCCCAGTTTCACCTGAGAGAGAGTCTGTTCGTTGGAAAGCGGAACTAGAGCAAATTAAGCCAGTGGCATTCTTGCCTCTCTGACTCCTCCTCCACAGACGGTGCCACAATGCAGCAAAGAGGGGTACTGTGCTCAGTGAAAACCTAAGGCCCCACCCACTTACAATATAACAGGTGCACGGAGACAAAGAAATATGGCCTGAATGAGAACAGATCAAAACTCCAGAAAATGAGCTAAGTGACGAGGAGATAGCCAACCTATCAGATGCACAATTCAAACAAAACACTGGTAATCAGGAAGCTCACAGAAATGGTTGAGTATGGTTGCAAAATAGAGGAAAAAATGAAGGCTATGAAAAGTGAAACAAAGAAAAATGTACAGGGAATGAACAGTGACAGAAAGGAAACCAGGACTCAAATTAATGGTCTGAAGCAGAAGGAAGAAATTGACATTTAACCAGAATAGAATAAAGAAACAAGAATTCAAAAACACGAGGATAGGTTGAGGAACCTCCGGGACAACTTGAAACATTCCAAAATCCGAATCATAGAGGTGCCAGAAAGAGAAGAGAAAGAGCAAGAAATGAAAAACTTATTTGAAAAATATAATGAAAGACAAGTTCCCCAATCTGGTGAAGGAAACAGACTTCCAAGAAGTCCAGGAAGCCCAGAGAGTCCCAAAAAAATTGGACCCAAAGAGGAACATACCAAGGCACATCATCATTAATGTACCCAAGATTTAAAATTAAAGAGAATCTTAAAAGCAGCAAGAGGAAAATAGAGAGTTACCTACAAAGAAGTGCCCATAAGGCTATCAGCTGATTTCCCAAAAGAAACTTTGCAGGCAAGAAGGGGCTGGAAAGAAGTATTTGAAGTCACAAAAGGCAAAGACTTACATCCAAGATTACTCTATCCAGCAAAGCTATCATTTAGAATGGAAGGGCAGATGAAGTTCTTTCCAGATAAGGTCAAGTTAAAAGAGTTACCAAGCCCTGATTATATGAAATGTTAAAGGGACTTATCTAAGAAATAGAAGAAGATCAGAAACTAGGAACAGGCCCTGGCTAGTGTAGCTCAGTGGACTGAGCCCGGGCCTGCAAACCACACGATTGCGGTTTGATTCCCAGTCAGGGCACATGCCTGAGTTGCAGGCCAGTTCCCAGCAGGGGACACACGAGAGGCAACCATACATTGATATTTCTCTCCCTCTCTCCTTCCCTTCTAAAGGTAAATAAATAAATCTTAAAAAAAAAAAAAAAACACAACCCAAAAAACTATGAACAGGCCCTGGCTGGCATGGCTCTGTGGATTGAGCGCAGGCTGTGAACCAAAGTGTCACCAGTTTGATTCCCAGTCAGGGCACATGCCTGGGTTGCGGGCCAGGTTCCTGATAGTGGGTGTGCGAGAGGCAACCACACATTGATATTTCTCTCCCTCTCTTTCTCGCTCCCTTCCCCTCTCTAAAACTAAAGAAATAAACTCTAAGTGTAGAGGCCAAGGAACATATATATACAACCTATGGACATGAACTAAAGGGGAGGAATGTTGGAGGGTTAGGGGGTGCAGGTTGGAGGGAGAATAAAAGGGGGAAAAACTGGACAAACTTTTTGAAGTTTGTGAATTTTATTGATTATTCTGGATAATTTTTTATTTTTAAAGCATCCATGAAAACTTTAAGAAGACAAATATACTCAAGTATTTAGCATATTTACTATAATACTGTAATACTATAATAAATATCAAATACTTATACCACTTAGTATTTATTTAGTATACAGTATTTACTGTACACTAACATACTTAGTAAAAAATCAGAAATAAAGTTGAGATTACAGTAGTTAAATAAGAAAGTTAAACCATTGTTTTAGTAGGTAAAAATAAGGCCAGGATGGTCTTGTTCTCAGGAGAACAGAGCATCAACTCTTTTCTATATGCATGTAAAAGGCAAAGCAAATGAAAAAGAAAGTTCTGCATTCTCGTTATTATTTATTAAAATGAATCCGAACCATCCTATTTGGCCACCTAGTAGAATACGGTCATCCATCGTGCTTTGTGTTCCCAATCTTGTTTCAGTTCTCTGCCTGCTCATTTGCTTATAGCTATCTCTTTGAATGTTTCCCACTCCCCACTCTGCCTGAACTGGTAATTTGTCGCTACAGAGTATAAGGGGAATGAATGGTCATTAAATACGGGTGGAGAAAACTGGCTTAATTAGAAAATCTCATTGGGCTGGTCAAGGAAATAAATTAAAAAGCAGGAATCTTTAGTGGGTTCTGGGTCCACTGAAAGTATTCCCAGGCTGTTACAAACTCACCAGCTCTTCTTCCTGTTTTTCACTTTTCATTTCTTTAATGGGCAAAGAGAAAGAAGGAAAGGAAACATATACTATTACATGTAATTTCTGGATTTTCAATTGGCAGTGAATCATGGTGACATTTACAAGTTTCTTTAAAAGAGGTACTCTGTTTAGTCATGTGTCATCAGAACATCTGTCACCTGGGGACCTGAAAGAGAAGGAGCATCTTCTTATCCATCTTTCATCATGGAAATTATCCATGTACCTGAACAGAAAAACGAATCTTTTAGTCTGCTGGAGATACAACTTCAAAAATATCCTTTCAAACCTGAGAGAGACAGAGGTCTCTCTATACTGGGAGTGAACAATGAGCTGGAGGTTGCTTTATGGAATGTGGCTCCTCAGGATAGTAGTGAAGTGGGGAGGAATCACTCTACTAGGAACCAACAGGGAGTTTTACATTAAGGTAACCACACACTGTAAAGCATGCTGCGTCTTCTCAAAGGACTGCTGTAGGGTCCTCAAAACTACAGCAGCCCCCCCAAACAAAGGTACATTTTCCTTATATAAATTATCACAAAGTAAAGGGAACAAGGGAGCTCTACTTCCATATGTTAGCATAGACAAAGCAAGTGACACTTCCGAGACCCTCTCAGACACTGCTTAGTGTCAGGATGACCCATCACTGAGTAGTTATTAATATGCTTCAACAGAGGAAAAATGATATTGGATGGCAAAAGTTAATATAAGCCATTTCTGATTTCAAAACTATAAAAATATATATAATACATTTTATATATTTTAAATATTAATATTTTAAATATAATATATAAGGTATAAATGATATATGTATATAAAAATATCAGCTCTGCCTTGAAAGGAAGCAAACCTCCAGACATTCTGTTCTTATTCTAGAGTCAACTTCAGAGGTTTCTAAAACACTGTTTTTAGGCTCCTAGTCTTCACAGCCTTACTCTTGGCTAGTCCCTTTCCCCCCCCAATCTCCTCATTATTACTAAAAGAAAGCTCTCTTTCCCATTTGTCAAAAAGAACTGGTGAAGGCTGGTTCAGAAACCATGACTCTATCCTCACTTGTCTGTTTTCCTCCCAGAGAATGGGCTATTAAAAATGAGCCATGGTTACTTGTGGAAAAGCACAGGAAGAGTTGTTGCTATTAATCTGTGAGGAATTCCCCGGGCCTGAGTCCATGGACATGAATCACAAAGCTCTGTGCTATAAAGGGCCTCTCAAAACAAAATATGAGTGTTAAAAGACAAGAAATATTAAAGACTCACCTACTGTACCCACTCCTACAATTCCCCATTAAAAGATATTTTACGCGGCCTTCTGGAGTCTGTTAACCATGTTCTAAAGCTCTCTGATGAATCACAGTCCCACTGAGTTCTGGAGAATTATAGGTTGGGCAAGATATACATGGCTTCAATTCTGCACCTTGACCTTTACCTTAGGGGTTTGGTCTGGGAAATATGCCAATTACCTTTGAGAGGCTAAGCAGAGTAAAAGCTAGTTTTATTAACTCTTTGAGAACCAGGGCAGTCCAACCTATATTCTACATAAATATCATTTTTAGTAGGCCCATTTAAAATAAGGGCACTGGTATATTAATTCTCCAATTAAAATAACTCAACTATGAAAAAACTTTACAAATAGGGTTGATGAAAGTAAAATCA